GTTTTTTTTTTTTTTTTTTTTTATCGCGGAGCGCCGGATAATATATTACAGCCGCTTACGTCAGCGCATGCATGATCGACGACGCTTGCGTGTATGTGAGAAAATAAATGCACGCCTCGTGAAGGTTGCACATGTTACCTCAGTGGTGTGATCACTCTGTAAGAACTTGGCGTCCGATCGTATACAAATATGTGCATGTCGTACCGATAGTGTCACTTTTCATGTTAGATCACCTTTCGCGTATAACTGGTGGTACGTCGCAAGATTCCTTGCAGCAAGAAAGGATTAAAGATACGTCCAAGAAACAATTGACTAAATAAGGGATAAAGATTTGACAAATCGGGAATCACGAATAAGAAATTAGTTTCCAATTAAAGAGAAGTCATGCGTCACTTACATTCAACTTCTTATTTTCCCGAAAACAGACAAAATGCTCCTCTATTTTTTAGCTAATTCTTCTAAATTTTCGTGTTCGATTCCTTGGTGTTTAAATGCAGTTTCTTACTTCGGAGCGCAACGATTCTTCCTGAAGGTTAAATTACGAATCGTTCACGTAGCCTTCGATAGCTCAGTTGGTAGAGCGGTGGACTGTAGTGTGAGTAGAAGGTAGAGAGAGAGACATCCATAGGTCGCTGGTTCAAATCCGGCTCGAAGGAAATTTTTTTTCCCGTTCGCGATTTTCTTGGTTTCATTTTATCGAGCCATAAATTAGAATCATGTTTTACTAATGTATTTTTGTTAAAAAAAGAAAAAAACAAATTGAGAGCACGTTTTTAAAAAACCGCTTTTTAAAATCTTTTTTTATTTTATACAGACGATTGTAAATAAAAAGGAACTTTTATTCGTTATCCATAGTAGAGATAAATGCAATGGAATATTAACACAAAATACTTTTTACGCAAATTTTGAAATAAATTAAAATGAATAAATAATTACTTTTTCTTAGCAATACAATGATATTTTTCTGTGTGCGTATTGTTAAAACATCCATTAATGCACGTGTAATGGCCGCCATTGTAATCTGGTTAGGCAAGATGAGAAATCACATTGTTATCGTATATATAGTTCTGTGTCTGCCGATAGCATAACGATATCGCGCAAAGAGCATCATAATCTGAACGGACGAGCTATAGAAACGAACGGCGGCGAACGGATGGAGCTATGAATATTCGCGGTTAAACGGATTAAAGGTCGAAAAATATCCATATTATCGGACATATGGGATGGCCATAAGGCGCAGTCGCGCGCTCGCGATATATATCCTCGGTAATTTATAGCCGCACGCTCTAATCGTCTTTTCCAGCTATAATTTATTACTACTCCATCCATATTTATTGGCACTTCGGCCACTGCATTCTGCCGACCATCAGATTGGTTATATTGTTGGCGGTCCGATACACACTGCAATAAATTATCCTGCGCGCGGAGGTGCGACGGCTGACGCGTACTGATAGATTGCGGAGAGAGGAGAAACGATTTATTTAAGCACTGCGGTATTTTACACGGCCCGCAACAATTTTTGATATATACACATATATGTATGCTTTGGGATATACATTCGGATATACAGCTCGTTTCATGTACCGTGAGTTAAAGCGTGAGAAAAGTACAGCAGAGAAACAGAAATAGACCTGTTCGCGTTACTACTTGCACTTTTTTGTACGCAACATCTTCATTTTCTCTCTTTTCCATGCACGATATATACATTATCTTGTTTTAAGTGCAGACATTTTTACGGATTTCAAGCAACACGAATGAACTTAATGTAGGTCTGTGAAATTAGCATTTCTGAATGTGAATTTTTATGAAAATTGATATGACATTTGATTATCCACAAATATTCTTATACGGAACAAAATTAATTTTATCAGTGCTCGTGAAAATGTCTTTTGGTTGATCCGAGATACTCCATATATGTGGCGGATAATCTATTAATTGCATAATAGTTCCCAAAAAATACTTGAAATACTTTTTTACGCGATTACAGAATAATTTCAAGTGGTGCACTGAAAAAAGAGTTTGGCTGGATTAATTAGAATTCTGGTTGAAAAAGAATCAATCAGAATTTTCTAATTGAATTTATTAGAGCCTCTTCCGATTAACGCTAATATCGATGATTAATTCTATCACGATTGCCAACGTGAGAACTAACTACAGTTTGTTTGAGAAGAGGAATAGAAAGGAGACGTTTTAACATATTAAACCGTTGTTGGCACTTCTGCGCGGATCTGTGAAGCTAGCACGACATTCTGTCGATATCAAAAAAATTACAACAGTTTCAGTAGGACTTTTCATTTTTCTACAGTTCCTTATAAAAATAAACAATAGTTCCGCATTTGTAATACTAAAAAATTAAGAGTTCTGATTATTCTTCCTCAAAGAGATATGTAAAATTTTTCCAATACATCATTTTCATTTTGTGAACCAAAATTTTTTAATTTCTTATAGACAAAAAAATGTTTTTAGAAGTTTCTTTGAGCGTATTCTACACAATGTGCTCTTGATCTCCTGTTTTTTGCTTTTTTCCTCTCTGCGATCGTTTTATCGACAATTGTATTTCTTCTGCGTGTTCCTTGTTTCTTTCGAAGTTCGTTAACTTTTATCTCGAGCGACAAAAAATAAAAAACAGGATAAGAAGTAAAAAGACAAGTTGTAAAAAATAGCAAAAAGGAAAAAAATAAAAAGCACATCGTAGAATAGACTTTAACGTTTCTGAATATATTCCTACAAGAATTTTATTAAAAGTATCACAATTTTTTTCGCTCTTACATAAAATAAAAAAGTTATTACTAATTTTTGTATCACGAAAACGTGAATTTGGCATACTTTTAAATAATTCTTTTTTGCATTTTTTTAATCATCAAAACTTTTCAAAACGTATCAGGAACTTGAGAACTCTGGAGAAGAAGAAGAACCAGAACTTATTTTATATTTACATCGAAATTTTGACA